ATTTCCCTGGCCAGTTGGGGAAGTAAGTATGGAGACCCCCCAAAACTTTAAAACTGACTCTTAAGTCTTAAGGAGCCCCAATCTATGCCTTAAGGCCGCTTACATCAGTCGCACTGAGGGGTATCGACATCGAAATCACCTTCGACGAGAAGGCCTGGCAGATGCCGGAAGCGAGATTATCGCATATTAGGGGTTAGGGTTCCTTTGAGAAGGATCTATAAGGGTTCTTAGAGAGTTCTACAGGAGTTTAGGGTCTTAGGTGCAGGAAGTGAGATACTCAGGTTTTAGATCTTAGTGCGTTGAAGTTTTGGGGGTTTAGAGTTTAGGGATTAGGCTGCAAGGTCTAGGGCGTAGGCTTCGGGCTGAGGGTTTAAGATGTAGAATTTAGGTGTTGGGGTGCAGGCGTGTGCTTTCATGAAGGAGCTGTTGCTGATGACATTGGCCTGCACTTACATTCAAACCCTAAACCGTACAGCCCACATAATATAGAGCCGTAATGGTGTTCAGTGCTGTGCCCGAAGTTACTTCATCCTTAGATCAATGTGTACTCCCACTGTTCCAACTATTTAAGCCGTCGATCATGAGAGCTAATAAACTGAACGGGAGACGACGAGCAATGAACAACAACAAGCCAATTTCCTGAGCAACTGTAGTCATCCGGAGAATGATACGAGTAACAAACAGCCACATTTAAGCCCTAACCAGCAATGGCAAATCCTGATTTTCCACAGCCAGCCCACTGCGGTAACATAGAGATCAGAATAATTAGCCGACGCATTCCTCAGGGTGTTCCTTCTTTTCACCAGAGTACAACAGACCCTAAAACCCCTCGATTGCGGCCGCTACTCTATATATATATATATATATATATATTCTGTGGAAAAAAAGCTTTCTTTCCTTCCTTCTCTGAGCCCTTGGCCCTAAACTCGGAAATCCTGAACCCTAAATCAAAGCCGCCCCTCAACCCAAGACCCGCAATCATACCCCTAAACCCTCAACCCTAAATCACCGCCCCTGAGCCCTTAACCCTAAACCCTAAACCCCTAAGCCCTAAATCCTAAGCCCTAAATCCTAAACCCTGAGCCCGGGATCCCACATCATAACCCCTAAACTCGCCTATATAGGGGCCTAAATCATCACCAATACTTTTTTAGGGGTTCCTTGTTGTAAGTATAGCATAAAAGGCCCCAAACCCTATTCTAATTATTCAGGCTCTTATACCTATTCTCATGATTAAGGCTCTTATACTAAACCCTGAACCGGAACCCCTCTACCCTAAGCTCACCTAAACCCTGAACCCTAAATCATAACGCCCTGAACACTAAATCATACCCCATAAATCCTAAACCCTAAATCATACCGCCCTAAACCCTGATTTCACCCCTACAAAAACGGAGGTTATGGTAGTTTAAGGTAATAGCCACAAAAAAAAAACCTAAATCATAACACCCTAGACCCTTAAACCCCTCAGGCGGCCATTTCACCAGAAGCCGACAACGGCGACATCCCGCAGATGGGGGGTGCTCGGGACCCGGGCCTGACAGGACATGCTGAAGGTTTAGGGTTTACGGGTTTAGGGTTTAGGGTTTCGGGTTTTGGGTTTAGGGTTTAGGGTTTACCGGTTTAGGGTTTAGGGCTTTAGGGGTTTAGGGGTTTAGAGCTTTAGGGGTTTAGGGCTTTAGGGGTTTAGAGGCTTAGGGTTTTAGCGGTTTAGGGGTTTAGGCTTCTTGAAGGATTCCTTTAGTATGAGTTCCTATAAGGGTTACTATAAGGTTTGAGTTATTTCGTGGTTTTAGGGTTCCTTGAAGGGTTTAGGGCATGCTGAAGGCTTGGTTAATGGCTTTGGGGTTTGTGCGGTTCCTTAGATCTAACTACTAGAATGGTAATTAGACGGGTTGAGGACAAGAAGTTTAGGGTTGTGACGGGTTGCAGGGTCTGGGGTTTTTGACGTTTGGATGTTAGATGGTTTTAGGGTTGATGGCGCACATGAGGTCATACGCAAAGCCTTGGTTTGCACATAGAGCGCTCAATCAGCAAAAAGCCACCCAGAGAGCCCAATACCCCTTAATTAAGGAATATACCTTCAACTATAAGGGGCTTCGTATTATGATTTAAGCTATATTCCTTACACCCAGAGAGCCTAATACCCCTTAATTAAGGAATGTAGCTTAAATCATAATACGAAGCCCCTTATAATTTAAGGTAGATTCCTTAATTAAGGGGTATTGGGCTCTCTGGGCAACGAGTCTTTGCTAGCATCTCCTTCGCCATGAAACGAGACGCAGCCACAGCCTCACAATCTTCCTGCGATGACAGACAAGATGACCGGCGACCCAAGCCCTACACCCTAAGCCCTAAACCCTAAACCCTAAACCCTAAACCCTAAACCCTAAACCCTAAGCCCTAAACCCTAAACCCTAAACCCTAAACCCTAAAACCTTAACCCGAAGCCCAAAACCCAAAGCCCTAAGCCCTAAGCCCTAAACCCTAAACCCTAAACCACAAGCCCTAAACCCTAAGCCCCAAGCCCTAAACCCTCAACCCTAAGCTCTAAGCCCTAA